GCAACTTGCTTTTCTAATTAATTTATGATTTTCCTCACCGCATTAATCTCACTCAAATGCCGACGGCCGTGTTGGAGGATGTGGGGCGCCTCAAACGCGCACGTTCCCAAATGAGTTGTGGTTGTTGCTTGCCTAAAAAATGTCGTGCACATGTGCCCCGCGTGTTGTTGTTGTTATTGTTGCTACGGTCTTAGGGGCAGCAGCAGCAGCTCATGTTTTCTTAGACATTTATCATAATTTCCAAAGAGTAGCAGCAACATCAAATTATGTCTTTGTTGGCTCAAAAAATGAGCTGCTACGCGGATTATGCGATTTGGGGCAAGCGTGTGGCGTCTCCATTTCAATGCAACAAGTGCAACAGCAACAGCAACAGCAACATTCGCCCGGTTAAGACAGCGCTGTCAGCTTAAGTGGCATTTGCCAAAACACTTTCTTGGAAATTAATTAAAACATATGCTCATCACTCAGTACCATAAATCAGGGCCCGGCGACAATTATCAGTTTCAATTTGTGCGTAAAACTGTTTGATATCACAGAGCAGCAGCAAGAGCTGTGTCCCAGGCCAATTAGCAGCAGGCAACAGCTAGACCCCAGACAACATCGTTTGGTATCGCCTTAACCCTTGTTTGGGGCGCAATTTGCCGCCACTTTGAGGAGGGGCAAGTTTGGTTGCAGCTCATTAAAATGCCGCCGCGCAATTGTAGCTAAAGTCAAAGAAAATTAAGCAAAATGCCGTACAAAATTTCATCGATGCGTTGAGGTGGCAACAGAACAGCTCAACTCGACTCGACTGGAGTCGCCTCGAAATCAACTTACAACCTGAGGCACGAGGCGTACTCTCTCCACTGGGGCGTGCTGGCATTTTTCCACTAGCTAACACCCTGTTGCCTGCCTCATCAGCTTCTCAGCCAGCTCCAGTTGTGTCTTGTCAACTGTCGTCCACTGAGTAATTACACCAAATTAATTGCCCAGCGCTGTCAGTTGCGCATTGTCTGCTAATTTTTTCCAATTGCTACGTGCAACGTGCAACATTTAATTGCCGCCATCAGCACGTGATTATCTGAAAATTGATAGTGCAGTTGCAGTTGGGCTTTGATTTCGTTTTTGTATCCTATAAAAAGACGCACGCAATTACCGCAATGGGAAGCTGAATGCCACGCCCCCACCCACCCACACCCACCACTCCACTATGGGCGACCATAAAAAACGTTGATTTAAACTGCATGTTTTGTAAATATCTAATTTGATAATTGGTTGTAATTTATGAGTTTTGTCTGCGCGTACAAAACATGCATAAATGACGCCTTTTATGCGCTCGCTCCGCTTCTCAGAACTCCCCACACACGAAATGCGTGCACATTAAATTAATATGCATTGCTTCTTCTTATATTTCTCGTTTACTCTCTCTCTTTTTTTGGTTTTAATTATTATTTATATCTGTCAGCCTATAAGGCGTGGATATGTGCAGCGGTTTATGTCTTCGGGCAGTTTTTCATGAATGAAATAAAATGCAGCCGTCGCCTAATGAGAAAACAACCAAATGAGGTAAGTTTTTGGATGCTGAAATTTGAGACTGGAATCGAATTGTAAGCAAGCGCTCCATTGAAACTAAAGTTGAAAGAATTGAAGTATATTAAGTTTATTTAATTGGAATGAATACTCAATTGCTAACTTAGACTAATAATTGGCATTTGTTATTTTAATATATTGCTAGTATGGAAAAAGATTAATTTAAAATTATATGACGAAAAGGAACTTCATTTACTTAGGTCAATAATTAACGTATATTATTTTTATATATTTCTAGTATGGGAAAAGATTAATTAAAAGTTATATGATGAAAAGGTACCTAATTTATTTAGGTCACCCGCTGATGATTTTTAATTAACGAATTTCCCAACTATTTTCCAATTAATGAAAACGGCTCAAGCAATAAATTACAACAATTTGTATATAAAATCTAGTTAGTCCAATTATTATTATAATTACAGGTTTGAAAACATTGGATATAATTTGAATTAAAATGTATTCACCTTATTTTTAGGAAGGAAAATTACCCTGCGTCGCCCCACCCTAATGAAAAATGTTGAAAATGCAAGTGGTCCCGCCCTTGATTGTCATTTCATGATTATGTTTATTGACTCCATAAATTATTAATTATTAAGGTTAAATATAACAAAATATGCGAATTGAAAATTGCTGCTCGATTTGAGCGGGTGAGCTCTCGCTTTTTGGTTCAATGCAAACTTTGACTAGGGATTAAGTTTTACTTCAACTTAGCCTCTTTTGATCAAGCGTGGCATCTATATGTACCCTGCCTGTCATGTTATAGCCAAAATATCAGGCCAAATCTTGGCAAAACTAATAAACATTCTAGAGATTGTTTTGTGAAAGGTTTTTTAATCATTCAGTTTGTCAGTCAGGTCCAAGTCTTTTGCATTTGTGGATGTAGAAAGAAAGATCAGCTCGGCAAATAAAAACAATAATCAATAATTAAGCAGATGAAAAATAGCTCAAAGAACGAAGATAAAACACTTCAATTGAATTTCTATTGATATAATTATGAAATGCTTTAAGAGTCTTGTCCCATTTAGAAGTAAATGCGACTTGTTGTCTCGTCTTGCAGTCCTATTTGTTTCTGACACAAATTAGCGTCAAGGCAAACAAACAGCCCAGCAAATGAATCATGCTGAAATTTCGTCAAAGAGTTCAATGCACGCCCAGCCACAAGATGCGGGACAGGGACTTCACCTTTGACGTAATCGGAAACCCAAATACACGAGCAATGGCGTGGGAGTGCCTCGGACAGATGTTTAGTCCGGGGCATTTCTTCTAACTTGAATGCATCATTAGTCGACAAACACACAAAAACAAAAAAGGGACGAACAAAAAACGGCGAGTGATACACGCGACTGCGAGCCGGAGTCGGAGTCGGTGTCGAAGCCAGAGCCGGAGTCGGAGACGGAGACGAAGACGGAGCCGTGATTTATGTTGCGTGCGCCTGACAAACACTTGAGAAGTGATGATTTATAATGAAGATGCATGCATTCGTATTAATTAAATGAGTTTTTTTGTGACACGGTTGCGCTCCATTTAACGTTAAATGCCAGTGGAGGACGACGACGGGCTCCAAAGTAAGCAGATCCGATAAGTGTAGTGTATATATATATATATATCGGAGCATCCAGTTTCGGTTTCTGGCCCATAGGGCTGGCTGCAAATTGGTAATTGATTTGGAATGCCAGTGCCAAGTGGCTATATTCAGGGATCTGGCAGCGGAATTTAAAATATGGCAAGCAATAGTCGAATATTCATTAAGCGCAATTATGAAAATTAAGTTGTCATTTTGATTTGAATGTGGCGGCATGCGGCATGTGGCATGCGGCTCATAAGCAATATGCTCATTAAATTAAATCAAACTGACAGCCGGCCTGGCTAAATAGATGGGCCCAGCCCGTGCTCATTCCTCGATTAGCCCCCCGTCAACCCTCTGCCAGCTGCCACCACGCTCGCCCCCCCTTTTGCATCTTCTCTGTCGCTCACTTCCATAGTTTAGCAGCAGCGCCGACTAATTAACGTGCTTTCACATATTTTGCTCAAATTGTGCATGAATAATGAAGACATTATCGCGATGCGATGTTACAGGCTGCTGCCAAAGCAGACACCCTGTATAATTGGCGAACAGCCAATTGCAGCAACTATCCTCGACTAAGGCAATTCTCGATGCCTCTCTCTCTCTCTCACTCGCACTGTTGCCGTCTCTTTCGCCTGAATTATGTGTTAATAATTTGGAATTAATGAACGTTTTACATGTTCCTCGAAATCTGCCCAGCCATAGGAAAGCGACAAATTTGTTTATTGCACGAAAAGTGCGCCTGCCAAATGGTGGCTAATAAACAGAAACAGAAATATTTATATAGATAGAATGGGATAGAATACAGGCATACAATGGCGGAATACGAGTTCTCATACATTAGGGTATATCATAATTCTGTCACGAAAAGTCTTCGACCTCATAAAGTACACACATTTCTAGTTCAGGATCTAATCTTTTTATTGTAAAGACACCAATTTAACTACATCATTTATCCAGAGGCATGGAAAATCAGTTAAGCATTAGTCTATAATATGCTTCAGTTATATTTTTATAACGAACTTCAATACTCTTAATACTTCTACTGCCAACCCATATGTAATCAGACTACTGCATTAAATATCTTCTTTTTTTGGAATTATCCATCAGAAAATTATAAAAACATTTCTAAATGTATACAAGAGTATTTATTCTTCGGCTTGTCTAAGATAGCCCTTCTTTCTCGTTCTATTATTATAATCAAAGCTTCAGATTTCCGAAAGTATATTGAATGTAGGTTTGTTTGTCCGGAAGTAGTTCTAAAATTTCAATCCACAATTAAAATCAAAAAAGGACTAACAGAGAAACGAGAGAGCATACAAAAATTGAAATACTTGAAATCGAAATCGTGATTGAAGTAGGCACAATTTATGAGTACATTCATCTGTAGGCTATCCCGCCGAAGGGGACATACAACCCACATATGAGTACATGTAGCTTGTGAAATATGTTTGCAAACTTATTAAATATATTTAGCGAGGCATCAAAATATTAAATAGCGATACTTGTAAACAATTAGCCAAAAATTATGACTTTTAATCGTCACAAGAAGAACCAAAAAAGAGCAAAACAAATCCCAGACATATAGACATTACGGGACACGCCCACCGCGCGCCTAGAGGCTGCGACAATTTCACACATGTTATATAAATAAACATATGTGTGGTTTTTTCGTGAAGAGCAACGTCTTCGAGCATCTCGACCATTTCTTTCCAATGCATTGCCACAGTTCCGGCGAGTGGAAAGAGTCGGCTATATGGCCACAGGCCACGCCCCCGCGAGATCTGTGTTCTACAATACGCAGGATGCGTTCCGTGCTCGAATTCAAATTAGTTTTCCGAAACAAGTCGCCGCGCGCTGTTGTGTCTGATTCCGGCTACGGCTCCATACGAAATATCCGATCCGAACCGATCCGTTCCGATCTGTTCCCAAGTGAAAATGAATGCACAATCTGTGGTGCGTCGCCATCCGCACAGTTTTTCGATCGAGCAGATTCTAGCCAAGCCCGAGCCACACAGTCCCAGCAATTATGTGGACAAAGCGTCCAGCTTTGAGGTGATCCACGATAATCAAGCCCAGTTGGCGCACAACGAAAGTGGGCGTGGCAGTTGTGATGTGTCCCGCGTGTCCAGTCCGGCGACATCCAGCTGCCTGGAGGACGGCCTGGACGATGCCAAAAGTGATATAGAGCTTGCCTCGGATGATGGCAGTGGTGCGTATAGAATTCCAACTGCAAAAAGAATAAAATGCAGCTAGTCACACGGATATTGGCCGAGATTTTGGGGGCTTATTATTGCAGTAGAATGTTTGTGTTGTTCCTCTTAAATGGAATGCAACTGGATAATTGTGTCGTAGTAATAAATACTTTTCACTTTTTATGCCATCAGAATTGCGACAAAGTTTAACAGCTTCTTTTGGTCTAAATTCCGAACTGGATAAACTGGGCTTTAATCTTGAGAAAACACAATACCTTAGGCAACTAGGCAAATTGATTAGCCTTCATTGATTTTTCCGATGTGCCGCAATCTTAAGTTTTAATCGATCTTTGGACACGATTTAACTAAAGTTCATGGCACATCGGAAAAATCAATGATTTTTAATCAATTCTAATGCCATTAAAAGTGAAAAGTATTAATTAAATATACAATTTGTCTTTCATTCTATATTCGGTTAGTCGGAACTCTGAAAGCTTATGATTTTTTCGATTTCCTGTAGCCATAAAATAGCATAACACTTAATCTGAGGCGGGCCTAAGTACATATAACTAGCTAAGTCTCTAGGTTAAATAGCGCCGGAAAAATGGGGTACAGACATTAATTAGACAAAACCAATAACTTTCTTTTCAATTTGTGAACGATACAAGACTATATACAAATACGTCCAAATATTCAATATAATATTAAATGAAGAAAAGGTTAGAAAGTCAGGCTTCATATTGTTGAGGATTACAAAGAAAATTATGATTTTAGTTATCTCGCTGAGCATTTTATACAAGTATATATGTAGTTTACATATTGTCAATCATTTTATATAGAACTTTATCTATTAAGATGATACATATATATCTATTAAGAGGATCATGCATAGTTAAAATTATATTAGGTAAAGGAAAATTGAGTGGCCTTCGGACGAGGATGCCACAATTAGAAATCAAAAGACTTCCAATAGTTCACATATAATCAAAAAAAAAAATGTATTCGTTAAGTCACCTCTCCTAGTAGCCAGCTTTTAAGCGAAATAGAAAGATTAATTATTGGAAAAGTCATAAAAAAAATAAACATCATTCACCAATATGCATTGGCTGAGTGATCTCGTCTGTCATGTGCGCGATCCACAAACAAATAATCAGAAATTGGCCCGAGGGGCGTCACATAATGGGCCGCCCGCTAATGATGCAAATGTGGGACGGAAAACTGTCCCGTGGGCAACTTGGCTGGCTTATCTCATTTTTCGAACGTAAATGTCACTGAAAATCGGAAAATTTATATGACAATTTGTTTACGGTCAAGTCGGCAGAAATGTGCTGCCAAATGGCCAATTAGATGCATTGGTCACAATCAAGATGAAATGATGCCAATTAAAATCGAGCGTCAAGTGTTCGCATACAGGGTGCTCTCGGCGCTGCGACCTCTGCCAATTAGTAGATTGGCAATTGGCAAATTCGAATTAGCCGCAAATTGTTTGGCAGAGCACACGACAATGGCCGCAGTCGATAGCAATTAATGTCTAAATCTGATTCACATACCATGCGGGATTCCTTTTCGTTTGCATTGCAGCGCACGACGATCGCAAGAAGCGTCCACGCACCGCCTTCTCCGCCGCTCAGATCAAGGCGCTGGAAACGGAGTTCGAGCGTGGCAAATATCTATCCGTGGCCAAGCGCACGGCGCTAGCCAAGCAGCTTCAGCTTACCGAGACACAGGTGAGCAGCAGCAGATTCCAATTAGTGTTGGTTTTTTTTTAAACACTTTGTTTAATTTGTAGATCAAGATCTGGTTCCAGAACCGACGCACCAAGTGGAAACGCAAATACACCTCGGACGTGGAGACGCTCGCCTCCCATTACTACTCCCAGCTGGGCATGGGTGGCATGGCGCGTCCCATGGTTGTGGGCGATCGCCTCTGGCTGTTTAGCCAGACTCCGGCGGGTCCCACGCCCATACAGTCCATCATGTTGAATGGCAGCGGCGCCGCGACGCCCATGCGTCCATACGGTCCACCGGCTAGTGCGCCTGGCATGCCGCCTCTGCACGGCTCCAGCGTTATTGAGAGCGCCAGGAATGCCATACTGTCGCGTGGACAACCGCTTAACTTTGCGCTGCCTTTCGGATTGGCCAAGCCACCGCCGCCGCCGCCGCCAACCGGAGGAACAGCGACTTCCCCAGCCAGTTATGTGCCGCGCTGTAAGCCGTATCCGAGCAGCTTTGCGGACTATATACCGCCACATGCTCACAATGAATCTTATCTTCAGCTGAAGTATGCTACGCTGCCGCCTGAAGTGGATGCGGATGCGGGCACCAGCAATGGTCTGGCCGAGCTGGAGCGTGTGTTCGGTGATGCCAATGCCAATTTTCTGCTGAACAAAAACGTGCCAGTCGCCACCAGCACCATCTCCTGTGGCTATGGACACGAGGGACTGTCGCAGGCGCAACGCAGCCGACGCGCCACGCAATCCGAGTCCGAGTGCAGTGACATTGACTGCGAGCAGCTGGACGAGGATGCGGACGCTGTGGAATAGCCACATCAATCAAATGAAAAGTCAGCTTTTAGTTAGTTATCTTTATAATCTATGTTTATACGCCACACACAAAAATATGCTCATATAAATACAACTAGTCATACAGATGTGATGAGTATGTTGTCTGTAGGTTAGTATCTATCACTATTTGACAGTGGCAGGCACACAGAGTAGTAGGATGTGAGGGGTGTATTTCACTGGGGGAATTTAACGTGTGTGCCTGTCTCCCGAAATGCTTAGAGTTAACTATGGCTATTCTATGTTACATGTTGTGGGTCGGTTGTTGGCTCTCTTTCAAGTTACAAATTACACGAATTATAATTAGATAAATCAAAATCACAAAGACTTATGTTTAACGGCCGTTACAGACTTTCGAGCTCAATCTGGAGTTGGAGTTCATTCAACTTAACAACTAAATGCCCATTTGTACAGTAAATCAGAGCGAATCAGCATTAACAGAAATAACATTGCAACAAAGTCAGCGACTGCTGTGACTATATATAGTATACATATTATCTAATACTGTCAACTTGTCGTTGCTATTGCTTCGGTTACAAATTTCAATTGGCTGTGTGCTACGAGATGGGGCGGAGGGTACGGATCTGACTATAACATAGAATTGGATCGGTCTCGTTGCACAAGTTTTACAAATTAAATATATACGTAGTTGTAGTAACTGGAGTCTCATCTTAGATCGGTTTAGCACTGGTTGCGAAACATACATTAGATTTACAATTTTAACTAAACTACTTAATGAACAAAAAATAAACTTTTAGTCCTATTTTTTGGTATTGCAAAAAGTTATCAAACACTCATTTTGATTCGTTACGTGTTGCATTGAGCTGAGCTTAGGGTCTATCTAGTAACTAGTTTTGTGATGTTAGCTCCATGACAGGTCATAGCCCTTCCAATTAGCACTAGGCGCTAAATGTACACGTCGCTTATTATAGTAGAACGAAACGATGCCATGGTAAGCGGTGCGTGGCACACCACTCTGTCAAAGATAAAATAAATATTAGACACAATATGTTAAGAATTGTGAGAAATGTTCACCTTAAAATCGTCCATGAGCCCAAGCATTCTGGTTATGCGTTTGTACTGATCACGATTATTGTACTGCATGCGCACTGGTCCCTCCATGGCAATGAGATTGAGACGCAGCTCGTCAAAGGTGACCAGGGGAAGCACATAGACTTGCTTTAAAAACGTGTTATCATAATTTTCCTACGAAATACACAATAAGTTAGTTGAACTTCACTAAACAACAGGATGTACGCACTTTTAATAAATAACTCATATTTATTTTGCTAAACTGTACAAAGTCCTCGCTGAGCTTTATGTGCTTCAGATATTTGTCGAAAAACAAACCGCTAAAAGAAAGTGCAGAAGCATATTAATAGTTAATACGTATAAGTATTTCAACCACTTACTTTGACACGCCAATCTTGCCAAAAGTGCGTGTACGTGAGATTTCAGGTCTAATGCAAACGCGATCCTTGCGTTGCTCCGGATGCCGTATCCAATCATCCCAGAAGCTGCAAAGAGGAGTAGCATATTATAATTCTGCTCAAACTATTTGCACTGCAGCTTACGATTTGGGCCATTTGACAGACAGCTCGCTCCACAGCTCCTTGGTCAGCATCCAACCCAGGCCGGGAAAGAAATCGGTGCGATAGAGCAGCTCAGGCTGGGCCGTGTCTATAACGTTCGCCTTGCCATTGTCATTCCAAGCCGAAACACACCAAAGACTCCTATCCTGCTTGAGCAGCTTGTGCGTGCCCAGAAAATACTCGAAAAAATCGGGCGCCACATTCAAATCGTCCTCAACAATTACCACATAATCAAAGCCAACATGGAAGGTGGTATTCAGCGCCCAGCCATAGTGTCGTGCAATCTTGTAGTAGCCCTTGAACTTCTTCTCCTTGGGCAGCACTGAGATATCGCTCTGATCGGGCTGCTCTATAAGCGTTAATTGGTTGCCAAACGATTGAATGGCTTGTTTGGTCAGCTCATCGCCGCAATCCTACAGAAATCATGATTTGAGTAAGTTGTTGATCGCTTAGCTTGCGCAGCCCAACACTTACCTGGGAAACAATTATGGGAAACTGCTCGATGCTGGGCCGATATTGCACAAGATTCTCCAGGCACTTGACGACCGAGATGCGATTGCAGGCAAACACCAGGATGGGTATGACAGGCTCACCATTCGCCAGATATGTTCTAGTCGGTATTTGCGCTGATGTTGCCACTGACGTGGCGTGTGTTGCTTTCGGATCCTGTTCCAGCAGCTCATTTGAGATTTCAGCAGCGACAATTGTTATTTTTGGAGTCGTGGTCATCTGCGGGTCGGTGTACTTGAGTCTCAGAAATTCAATCAGCGTTTGTGATAATCTCAAGCTTTTCGACTGCTCCGTTAATGCCTTTGGCAGTATTTGTTTCATCTTCTGACTTTGTTGCATCGCGTCCAGTTGGCCATTGCTATTGCGCAGTAGTATATAATACGTAATGAACGTCCACATGATGAGGAAGCTAATCACCATCACCTGCACCTTGCGCGAACGCATATTGCTGTGTGCGGGCTGAGCTGGGCAGCGGAAGGGGCGTCAAACTTTTCACGTGTTCGTCGTAATCACTTGATATCTCACGCCAGCAGAGCTCGCTGGGGCTAGTGCAGCATCTGTTTGATGTGAATGGCTCGTCGTCTGAGTGAAAATTGAAATTGTTTGTGTTCGTTGAAGCGCCAGATGCGCTCATGTATTGCGTGCTGTTTTAATCGGTGGGAGTGGAAGCTTTGTTGTTGTTGTTGTTGTTGCTTGGGTTGTTGCTGGTTTTGCTGTCGTCGGTGCGCTGGACAACAGCAGCCCTCGCAGCGGCTCAGTTTTGCAAAGTTTATGCTGCTGCCGCACCACATTAGCATCGACTGCTGGCGTTGTGTGATAATGGCAAGGGCGGCTGGCGGTGTCTCTGCTTGGCCGCTACATTTATAAATGGATCACGCGTTATGCACCAGCGCCTGACTTAATGACGATTCGTGTTGATGTGGAAAGCAATGCGCCAGCTTGGCAATATGTTAAAATGCCCAAACCAAACAAAAGCGCACACGTCGTCTGTTTCTCTTAATTGTAAAACTGTGTTTGTTGTGTGATTTACTTGTGGTATTTTAAGATGGCTGATAGTCGGTCACACTTTCCCAGTCAGCTGGCAGTTTTTCAATGTTAGCCAACACTGGAGCAGTTATGTTAACTCAAATTGGTGCTGTAGAAACTTTAAATCTGCTGTGTTGTGCAGCGAGCGTAATTTGAAAATTTATAATTTATTTTAACGAAAATGTACACAAACTCAATTCAATTGGATTGTTTAATTTTATTAATTCATTTAGTTTTAGTCATTAATTAAATTAGCTTAACAGTTAAACTTAGAAGACTAGTAGGTGCTTATGCATAAGACCAATTTATCATGTTATCGAAATGTTTATAAGAATCACTGTGTTTGTTTGTTGTTGCTGTTGTTATTGTTTGTTGTTGTTGTTGTTGTTGTGGTTTTTCCTTGTCACTTAGGCTGGCATTGTCGGAGCTTCAGCTGAGAACTACTCACATTAAAATTAATTGTATTTACGATTTATAAATGGCAGTTACATAAGTATATATATTAGTAGTAGGTAGTACATATATTTTTTTTAATTGCCATACACACTGCACACACGCAGCTCCAACCTGATTAACAACCAGCCCGCCTTTCGTTTGAGATTTACAATTGCCATATGTCCGACTATTTACATGAGGCGCCAACACAACGCACCGACCAGCGCCCAGAGGCTGAAGACGACGGGTTGGACCGCAGCCGAGCTGAGCTGTCCCAGCTCTCGTTCATCCACCACAAAGGCGGGCACAGCGCTGCTGGCGGGCGTTTGCTCCATGCTGCGGCTCAGTTCCGCAAAGTTGCCGCGACTGTTGCGCGCCAGGCGCTGATTGGCCAGCTTCAGTTCGCGCAGCTTCTCCTCCAGCTGCAGCACCTCATCTGTGAAGGAGAAGTCTCCGATTAGCTGGCACACAAAACAATCGCCTGGCTTAAAAACTCACTCTTGTTGACGCCCTCAATGTCGTTGACTTGCAGGAACATGGCCAGTGATATCTCATAGACCTTATTCGCGGCGCTGATCTCACGCTTGCGCCTGCCATAGCCCACCTGGTTGTTGGAGCACTGTGTACCTAGGCACTTATCCAGGCAGACATTGACCGTGGCGCGGAACTGCACATACGAGGAATCGGGAAACTTGAAGGCCTTGAACTTGGCGCTCAATATATCGCCATCTACGGTGTTAAAGTTCTCAAACAGATAAGGATCCACTGTGCAGCTGCAAGGAGTACAAAAAGCAAAGATTAACACACACAAACTGGTTGGGTAATTGGTCAGGTCGTATGCACCCCTTGAAGATGAGCGTCTCGGAGGAGGTGTGAGTGTCTGTGACATCCAAATAATTGACTCCCAAGCCATAAACCGGCGCCGAGTCCTCATCCAGGTTGATTTCCATCGTCAATGGCGTGCCCTGCATGAAATGAGAGTAAATTAGTGCCATAAACAAGTGTAAGTGTGCTTGGGCAGGCCAACCTACCGACTTGACCGTCAAATCTCTGGTAAACTTCTGGCCATCCTGGCTAACTCCAATCGACAGACGCGGCTCCGGTGCACGTTTTGTCAACGAGGTGGTTATCTCCAGATCGCTGCAGGCGATGCCAACAATGACATAAGCAGAATAAAAGAAAAATGCACTTGAAAAGAGCTGTCGGAATGGAGGAGGAGGGGAGGGGGGGGGGGGGGCGGCACGCCCATTAAATGTATGCCGGATTCAACAAAGTAATTGAAGGACATGGCACGTACATATATCAACAATGCACTCAAAAGCAAACATTGTAATACCCTCTCCCCATCATTAAGTACGTTTGTCCGGCGGCACGCCCGGCAATTAAATTGACTGTGGGGGTATTAGCGCGGGCATCGATTTGACGGCTAATTACCGGCTGGTAATGGCCGCCCGAACAGCCAGTGGGACAGTCGTTTGATTTATGACCACACAGCCTTGGCATAGGGTTGGGTCCGTGCCGCTGCCGATGCTTGGGTCTGAGTCTGGGCATTTAATATGCCATAAAGTTTGCATAGATTGCGCATAAAAATATGCATAGATGCAATTTGAGGACGTTGCATTTTGATGGGCAATTAAAAGATGCGCAGCGCAAGCCGCTGACCGAAAACTTACTCTGGTTCCTGAAAACCCGCCGGCAGCACATCGCGTCTGACCAGGCCATGATGCTGGGCAGGCAGCTGCTCCTGGAGCACGACGCGCGTCTGCTCCCGTCCGGCGTTGGTGCCATTCATCATGACATTATAAACCGGACCGCTTGTGGTAATGCATTTGACGCTGACAATCTCCTTGCTGCTGGCCGATTCAATGATGATTTTATGGTAATACACCTTTTTGCCCTGCGGTGACAAACAGCATGTACACACAGAGAGAGAGAGAGAGAGATAGACGGGGGTTTATTAACTATCATGGAGGTGGGTGGAGGGGATTCACCTACCGTTAGCTGGTTGACCATGCGCGTCACGCCGCACTCGTAAAAGTCGCTGAGCGATAGACGAAAGACGGCAAGAGCGCCATTGATTTCGGGCTGACAGCGCACATCCGGATAGCCCTTGAGACCCTCCAAGTAGATCTGCGGACGATCGGCGGAGCTGGCGCTCGTGTCCGCTGGCAGGCCAATGTCGACGCGCATCTGATCCTCGGAGCAGTGTACCTTGTGTGCGCCTGCAACAAAGTAGTCAAAGAATGCAAAATGGAAATTAAATTGCTGCCGCTCTACAAAAACAAAAACAACTACAACAACAACAGCTGCATTGGTTTTGGACTGAAACTGGGCTAGCATGTCGTCGCCATGGTGTAAACTGGCCAAACTGAGCCAAATGCTCAGCCAGCAACGCCTTTCCATGTCCAGCGTGTGGACATTGACGAGCGCAGCAGGCTGCGAGCGGGAGCGGTGCAAGCACTAAACAATTGCCGCATAATTACTATGGAAGTGGAGCGCGTTCGTTGCCTAAGTCTTTCGTTTTTATTGCCTCGCTTAATAAAGCTGCAGGGCTGCTTTTAATACCCAGCACAAGAAATGCACCCGGAGCGTATTGAGACCAGGCTATGTAGTTTCCCCACCAGACAACAACATTTGAGAGGGTATCTCGGAGTCGCAGTTAACTCTGGTCTAGAGTGTTCGCTTGTGCAATGTACACCGCCGGGTCTGGTCAGCCACAAGACGAAAAATAAAAAAATAAAAGAAAAATGTATAAAAAAAAGCAAAAGCCTGGCATTAGCCCAGAGAGTCAGGCAAGTCAAGTCCAGCCAGTTCAGTTCGTCAGCCTGCCAGTTGGTCCGTGCGTCGAGTCCGAGGCACACTCACACACTGCTTTGGTTTAGTTTGTGCGGCTGGAGTGTCAGGCATTCGCTTTGGCATAATTCCGTTGCTGCCTGCTGCCCCATCAGCCAAGAGAGTAGTAATCAAAATCTTATTACGCCCGGAACACGTGTAGGCAGGCCCGGGAGTGTGTGACCGGCAAATGATCGGCTTAAATGCTGCGGAGCCATTAGCTGTCCCGATCGCAGAGCGTTCATTTTGAGCCTGATCAGCAGCGCATTGCCAAGTAATTTGAATAATTTGCTTAAAGTACTTAATCTCGTTCTAATGCCGGCAACAAGCCATGCATTACCAAAAGAGTTCAACAGAAATGCCGCCAATTAAATGTGAGTTGTAATAAAAACAAAAAACAAAGCCAGAAGCAGGCACAAAAGCAGAACAAACAACAGAGAAAAGCAAACAACAGAAAACAATAAAACAACAAAACAAAAAGTACCCGAAAAACTAACCACAAAATTCATGGTAAGTCCACGAAATGCAGAGACAAGCGCAGAGGCTGAGTTGGAGAGGAAGGAATGCTGGAAGAGTATTATATATGAAAATAGCAAAAAAAGGTATTAAGGAATTTATTACTGGAGTTGCTCGTAAAACTGCATTTATTAATTTTAATTAATTTTTAGCTATTAATATTTATTTATGAATATTAATAATATATTGTATTTCGAAAAGAAAGAAAAAGCTTTGCAAGTTGAAGAGATTAGAGCTTAGAGCCAAGTTCGGTCTTCGACCTGCCACTCCTGAGAGTTGGGATTATTTATATATGCAGCTATAAAAAGAAACATTTGAAGACAGCTAGAAATTGTCGAACAGCTAGAAATTGTTGTGGCAATGTGAAACTAAGAAATTCCCTTTTGACTAAGATCCGCATGTCCCTCGAGTCGAATAGATTTGCTTTGCTGTCTTCCACTGCTGAGAGTTGCAAATATTTATATATGCAGACAGGCAAGAAACATTTTAAGACTTTTGTGGCGAACAGCTAGGAATTGTTGTGACAACCCACGCCTGCAATAGGCATGCTGCCGAGCTCGCTAATGAGAGAAATCAGACGCTTAAATTTGGTTTTAATTAGCAGGCGAGAGAGTGAAACCCGACAGCGAGAACGGCCGACAGTAAAAGCTAGGAAATATAAATTGCAAGGTAATTAAAAAGCGGCAGCTGCTGCATTTCAACAGTTGCCACTTGGTAATTCAAGCGGCAGCGTCAAGGTGGGCGTAATGCAAGCGGCGCCTAAAACAATTACAAAATGAGCAGCAGCCCGCAGAGCTGGCCACCAAGCTAAGTACTTCCGCGGCGTAGTAAAACAAATAAAAGCCACAGAGATACAGCATACGGCATACGGCATACGGCTAAGTGCCTGATGATGTTCCAAATTACGCCCAGGCACGACAACGGTCCATTGATTTGTATCCAGATGGCAAAAGGAACAGCAAATGGAACTGAATTCTCAGAGCAGACGGCGCGCCACGCCCACATGCTGCCGTGTTGACCAGTTAATTGAGCCGTGGCCATGGCCGTGGCAGCAACAAATTCACATAGTCGTATTTCTAGGCACCATTTGGAGCAGCGCCTCGGCGCAGCAGGAAATGTTGTCTGCTGCTCGTGACAATAATTGAATCCAAGGTGCTCGGCCCTTGCCAGCCTTATTGTCAATGTCTGCG